ATAATGCCGATGGCGCTCTTCATGTCGACAACCAAACTCTTGACTGAAACGGCGTGCCGGGTCTGCTTTTGCACGTTGCTGATGCAACTACGGTGCTTTGGGTAAACGGGTTCTTCTTTAGGACATGGTATCTTTTTTTATAAGAGCGTGTATATCAAAATAGACAACATTTTCATATTCAATTCCAGGGTCGGACATACGCAGTCTTATATCGAAACGCTCTAAATCTTGTTCTGAACGCGGAAAAATACTATTATCTACGGAAATGAATAAGAACTTGTGCCACTGAATATCCAGACCTTGCCATTCTCCAAGACCGCCTGCACTCTATATATGTGCGTATAACATCTGTACAATGGATTAGCGAAATTTTAATGAAGTTCCTTTAAACGGCCGCTTTCAGTTTTTGTCGGCCATGTAGTTACAGTCGTTTGCTCTAGATCGTGCACTCGATTACAAGATTTCAAGTTTCTAAATCGCGCAGACTTATATTGATCATAAGGTATAGGTAGGCATAATTCACCGCATACGTGATCGGAAATCTTTGTTGAGAAAAAGGAAAACAGTATGTGGTGGAGTGGCGGGCCAAATTTTAGATTTTTATTTTCTATTATGAGCAAACAAACTTTAACATAGCTTAATAATGCATACAAAAACATATCTAATATATTAGTACCTAACTGATATAACGTAGTGATAAGAAGAAAAATTCTGAATAAAAATAGCAGATTTATCTCACGCACCGCTTAACCAAAATCGTCGAAATACTCATCCCTACTCTGGGTATGAGTTCTAGGGATTTACTTCTCGTAGGTTTTATATGAAATGTATATTTTTAATAACAAAGAGCGGGATGCAGCAGTAGGCAGAGTCGCATGTATGAGAAAAACAATCTGAAAATTATTACGCGATAGCACAGTTGGTCTCCGACGAATGTCTAATTTCTGTTATTTTATCTATTACCGATAAGTTATGCTATTGTATTAAGCTACAACTATATTTACTCTGTTTACGCAAACGGCTATTACACTACGAACAGGATACAGGCCTTAAACGAGCCTGCTCTGTTGTTCAGTGGGGGCACACGCGTCTTGCAAAGGAAGGGCTGAAAGCTAAGAGTTTTCTAAAAAAAAAAAAAAAGGCCATCATTGTGCTGGACGAATGTCCCTATGAAGTTATCTCCTCTACAACCAAAAAAAGAGCAGCTATGATTTTTATCTTTTCTTTTTGCATCTGCCGTTATTTACTCCTTTCACTCTGTTTTGAGCCAATTTGAAATCAACGAATGAAACGCGGTATACGTGCCGTCGCATACAAACACCAGTACCGTAGGTTAAACGCGATACCTATACGATGAAAGGCGCAAACATGTGTCGGTCTCGGCATGAGTAAAAGTCTATTGGTGTAGGTGCAATGGTAGCATTATTCCCATAAGCATCACTACTCCTCATTATCTATTTCACGAGCGGCTCCATATTAGAGCAGCAGGTAGTGTCAAGCGTTCTCGGCTGTTTTTGTTAGGGCAGCCTGGGCTGAGCCTGTCGTCCGCAGGCGGACGAGGACAACAACTATGTCAAGAAAACAACAACAACAACAGGGTTCAGGACAAAACATACCCGGTTGCTAATCTGATTTTTTGCTGGTGCCAGTGTTTACGCAATTAGTGCGTCTGTCTGATGATTGATCGAGAAGAATAGGCATCCGTGCGTCGGTCGACTTAAGGCGCTAGCTTTGTTTGAACTTATCTTTTTGGCGCTTACGTACTCGACGCAATAACGGCTTCCTGGACCAGGGTTATGAAAATAGCGACGTCAGGCATTCTATGGAACATGACGTATATGTATACCTAGCTCTTTCTATAGAAAAATGTCACTGCAATCATTGTTAGTTGAAAAATAACTTCTCTTAAAGTTGAGATAATCGAAGCTCCGGGTACACTCTTTTAGTGCTTAGGTTCGTAAATACTTTTATATCAACTGTACACAAAAAAAACTTATTGATCTTGACCCGGGTGGTGCGTGACCTCGCAGCGCTATTGTCCAGTCGATCTATGACATCAAATTTCTGGGAAAGAACTAAATTTCCGAGTTTTCTGCTTATCCTCACACTGAATTAAGCTCAAAAATGAAAGCTGTCGTGTAAGCTTTCAAGAATATGGAAATCTAGATGAGTACGGATCTAATATGATACTCTCTAGCCTTGTAGTCATGCTCGTATCTCAGGTTGTATTCATATGTATATTAATTATTAATATAGCAGGCTTTTCTCTGCTCTTAGAGTTAGGTATTATTGTTGCAATGAGCTTGTTTTAGTCTACGGAATAGTGTACGATTTGGTAAGCAATGGCCTCGATGCCAGTGAGCTCTTCAACAGAAAGAGACAATACACGTTTGAGGTGTCGAATACGTATCGAATGGAAACACCCATCTCTTCGCTAGTCGGTACGTTGTTCCCGTTTCTGTAGAGGTTTGCGCAACCTCTGCTCTCAAATAGTAGCCCTTGCTATTACACCGTCACAAAGATAATAACATACGTAAACGCTCAAACGTCCCTACAGATGAAAGTATCATGCGATATTGACATACGTACGCGCACTATTTGAAGCTATTGTGTTTTACGATCGCCGATATCTGTTCGAATCTTCAGTCAGTCAGTCAGTCAGTCACTGTTATTAGTGCTGTTCCTTTTCGCCTCGTGAGAAATTCTCCAGCTTCAGTAAAAATTGGTTGCTAGATATCCACGTTACGCGTACGCGTACGTCCTTCTCTTTTCCCCTCCCTCGTGTTCTCTACAATGGGTGAGGGAGAAGTGCGGCCAATGATAAGACATGGTATTCCGATTGGTATTAAGATTCCGATTAAGATGCTGATAAGATGGACAGAGGATTCTCCTGAATGTAATGAATTTTTCGATTCGTAATTTTGTCATCAGAATCCTCATTTAAAACCTTTAGACAGCCAAGTGTTTTTTTCTAGACCCATTTTTCTATATCTCAAAAAAAACATTTTTTCTATTCAAGTAAGCACGAAACTCGCGATATCGTTATGAGGACTATCGCTGAATCGTTGAAAAGAAGTTGGCTTCTTCACTGTGTATCGCTTTCTCACGTCTCCAATTGACGACATCGTACCTTCATATGCTGAAACTGTATACTTAATGCACCTGCAAGTTCCTGTTACTTATTTATAATAATAGTGCTCCAGAGTCAGGAGGGAACACTGTAACTGTTAACCCCGTTTGTTATAACAGTTATGCTGTATCGTACTCCGCCTATCAAAAAAGAGAAGATCAGCTATCTTTACCATGTTGGTAAACTCGTATCAATGAATTCTTATTCCAGTTTATCAATCAGTGTAATCTATTTACATTATTATTGATGTTGAAAGACGTGAATGGTTTAGCACGTGATTGTATGCGGGATAGACCTATACGTCAACGACCTAACGAAAACTACCCGAACCGGGAAATCGACCGACGTCGTGTGTTTATTGACAGTGCTCATCAATAAAGTACATTGAAATATATAATCTGGTTGCGCGTTTATGTTTCAAATGGTACTTTATTTGAGACAAGTTATCACTAGAATCGTGTTAGAACTTGTCTCACTATTCGTTCGGATAGCCATGGGAAGAGTCACAGAAGCCAATTATCAATTGTAGTTCGCTCCGCGCTATCTACTAAGGGTCAATGAAATAAAACGACGTTTGGGGACGGGCTAGACCAGTAAATACAGTGATAGACTGTGTTTGTTCTCTAATATACTGTGTACCGAACCAAGTGAATTCGTTTCCACTGGAACTCAATTAAAAATCTATGTTCTTCAAGAAAGCTCGCACTCGATTGCAGCTTGTGCTGCATGATTTTCATTAATTCAGTTATGTCTGATGGACGTCATTCGAATGAAGAACGGCGTTTTTCAAGTAGCCGGATAGAAACAGGCTGTTTAATGTTAATGAACGAATAAAGCGGTCAGCGCTCTGATGCCGAGCGCGTGACTACCGCTGAGCCCATCTGTCCGACGTTCGCTAAGCTACCATGACCGCTAGATATGCGGCGTCCCCTCATCGACCTCTGAGAGGATATGTTTCCGTGTTACGTCGAGGGTGGAATAGCATTAGACGACGTTGTGGTTGTCTTCGGGACCTTGAACCCGACAGCGCAACGACGCAGTCAGTGCCGAAAGCTTTTGTTCGGCTACCCATCAGAAGCTTACGCGGTACTGCTTGAGCTAATTAGAATACGTTGAAAGTGAGCGTCCTTTGACGTATGACGCTGACGAAGGCCGGCAGAGGCGCTATCGACGCACTGGTGCTATTTGCCGTATCGTAAAACAATGTTGTGGATGCCATCATAAGGGTCCTTTACCCAGTTTAGTGGCGACACTGTTCCCGCTGCTGCTGGTCATTGCTTTACTTACTGAGCATTAGTTTTCATTTTAACAATCTTTTCCTCGCTTAGTGATGACTAGCGTTGCTTTCGACGAGTAGCCCCTTACTACTGCTTCAACCTATTATGTTCAAACAGTTCTAGCTGCATCAGTCGCCGCCGGCACCGAAACCCGTGCGACTTCGATTACATGTGCAACTGTAAACTCCTACTAAACTTAAAGGCTGTATAATGTAATGGCTAGATCGTAGGCGTTTCTTCGTCGATGGTTCCACTCGTGGGCCGCTCTTCCTGCTGCGCTGTTTTTACTTCTGTTATGTGTTAGAAGTAGATTTTAAACATCACAGCCAAGGAGGATAACTTGTACGTACTCGAGTCACCAGCTGTAGGATAGTAAAGAGACTAGTTTTATACCGAGGTATATATATCCAGATCTAAGTATTTGTGAACCAGGCGGTTACTAGTTGCTCCTTTGTTAAGTTAGCATAAACCTTGTACCTAAAAAATAGTGTGCGAGCCATTTTCTAATGTTCGGTTGATTAACATAACAATGTTGAGATGATCTGCTAATTGGCAATGACGATTGATACCCCATGCCTGTACTTGACTTTCAGAATGAATAACATCAATACGGCGCGTTCATTTTCGGGCAGAACGAAATCGCTACGGGAGAAGTTCGCATCTAAACGAAGCTATTCCGAGATCTTTAAGCCGGATGTCGTCAAGGAGGCTACCAGCAAGGTAACGTTGTTACCACACTTTACAGGGCGATGGGCTCATTTGCCTTTAGGGTTTTAGAATGGTCTAAATGCAGAATTTCTATTGCGTGAATTGGGATGCGATGGCACGCACGTAAAAAAGCGTTGACTTCGAAAAGGTACCGCACAGTGAATCCTATTTGGCTAAAAAAAACGCTTTTTTAAATGTTAAAGTGCAATCGGAATTGAAGACCATTTACTCTGAAGATACTTCGCCATAGGATGTTCAACACTGGGTTTCATATACTGTATAGCTATTTACACGGGGTAGATAAACTTTTCATTGCAATGTGGAAAAACTTTACTTTTTGCGAACAGTATGAAAAAGCTAATCGGCCATAGAGCTTTTGCCACCTTTGTGCACCTCTTTCTTAACAGCTGTAGGGGAAACAGAAGCATCACAACCTATAGGCAAGCAGTTCGAAATAGGCGAAGCATCCCAGCGATCTATGGCAAAAAATAGGGGAGAAATTTGTTTGATAGGACTTGGTGTTTAATGATGCCTACAAGAGCCTTTAACAAGGTTTAGAATCATGCTTTTAGGCCAACGAGTGTATTTATCGAATTTTAAGGCCAAAAGAAAACAGAAACTTGTGAAACTCCAATTAACTTTGTGTGGCCGAACAGCATTCATATTTTAAGGCACTCTCATTGAACAGAGTCGAACAAACGCAAAACATTTACAATGGCTCTGCTTCTTGTTTAATATCTACAAAATCAAAGCTAAAGTGCCATCAGCTACAAAGTCATAGTAAAGAAAACAAGCTCGCATTGGCACACGATAACGGATTCAGAGGCAAAGGCACAACAGATCTGGGCGAACGACAAATAGCAAAAGAGATAATAGTCCAATTATTCAGTACACGCTTCGTAGTCACAAAAAGGTCATAATCCATTTATTCTTATATGTCCATTTTTTCTTAATAACAGTATCATCCCTAGGGTCGTTTGAGGCATTGAAGACAAGCTGCGTCGAAACAGCTCGCTTTCCATATGTCAAGTAGGTTATTCGGTGAGCTCATTACTGCTTCGACAATTTCCCTAGGGATACAACAATTCATTTTCTATAAATAAATAAATAGCGATTTCTCTTGATAGCAGATCTATTGTTACGTACCCCTCTGCAAATGTTCCGCCAACGTGTGTTCCCATGAAACGGTCGGCGATTGTAACAAATGACTGCCTTTGTCTGCGATTTAAGTTACGTTTACTGGCCCTTATAGATCGCCAGCTGTTGCGTTTCGTACCATATCAACATTTATCTATATTTAAAAGATGAAACGGCTAAGAAGGAGTCGCTGTACCTTAAACATGCTATATACACTCTTGTTTGCTATGTTCATATGAATCCATATCGATATGGAGCCAGTGCGGGGCGTGTTTCTATCGATTTACGGGTCAACTAACCGGAATAGCTGACCGGGATAATGGAAAAAAAAGCAACTATTTTCGGATTTGTTCAGTTACACTTATCAACGTCTGCCATATTACCAATGCACACAAATAAAGAAGGCTTTATATGAGGCAATAACGCATTCAATTGCTTACTCTATTAGTGTCGCAATGTAAAACACTGCGATAAGCTCATTATGAGGATAGTCATTAAATAAAAATCTAATCAATTGTACTTTATCTATGGCCGAGAGAGCAAGGAGCGAATGGTTGACCCTGTTTCTTTAAAGTAAACATAGTTGTCTTTGGTAATTACGACTACAGTGTTCTTTCTCTGTTGTTGATGATACGTAATACGCACCTACTCCGTCAGGCTGAGCCGCCGTCGCGCAACACCGCATTACAACTGTTTGTTACAGTGTATAAGCCTTTACTACAATTTTTTTACTACCATATATATATATATATATATATGTACATATATGTATATATAAGATAAAACGACGCAGGTTGCCGTTGTTTATGAACGCAAAATTGCCGAAGGTGTTTCCGTGCAGAACAAGCGACAATACTAGTGGTCGAGTGTCTTCATGAGTAAAAATTTCTTGTATTTACTTATAATGCAGTAGCGCTTTCATGTACCGACATTAATATGTATACAATATGCTGGCAAATTCTAAGTGCCTATTCAAAGCTTCGTATTTGTGTATCTATGCACGTTTTTAATGCTAATCTTTATTCGACTTCCTCACTCGCAGGTACGCGGCAATTCGCGACCACGCTGCTCGCTCCAAGTCGCTTCACAAGCCCCAATCGTTGTAGCCCCGTCCTCTTCACCTTATGCCCTGTCTCCACATAGTGGGGGAACGCAGTCACATCAGGGTGCTGATGGTGGCGGCAGCAGTAGTATGAGCCCTGGCTCGGGGGGACCATCGACGGGCAACACCACCCCATGCGGAGGGGCTAAAGCTGTTGCTGTAGCAGGGCCTGATGGACTCATATCGTCCTCCTATCACCTATCGGATACAGCTACGTACGGAAGCGCACTCGACATCAACAGCGAACGAGAAAGCCCAAGGTGAGTAGAGTTCGCTTCTGCTCTACCAACCGGTAGGGGCCTAATTAGCTAAAAGTTGAATGCTTTTGTGTACGATATCGTACACAGGTGTGCCAATTCCCATTGTCCGATTGGCTCAGGCAAAGTGGGCAAACTCTGAATAAGTCACCCCAACCTACCTCAACGTTAATGCATTTACATATATATGTATATATATACATATATATATATATATATATATATATATATATATATATATATATATATGCGTAATCACCGATCATTTTATGTGTGCCCCACGATGATACGCTTTGGGCGGTTCAATAAGACGAGAGTTTGATATTTTTTTCTTACTGATGCAATCTTGAATCCGAGCAGAACTAGATCAAACTTGATGCGGGCTCCGTAAGCCCACCTTAGGTTATTCTTGACGTGTTCCTGTTTAAGGGTAAACGAGGCACTGGACTCGTCATTTGAAAAATCGTATCATTCGTTACTCATACTAGAACTTCTTGAGGAGGATCCTAGCAGATTTTTCTTAGAGGATTCTTTGAGGCGATATGAATAGAGAAGGAACGTTCTCTTATTACGAGAAAAAATATCGAGGTCTGGCCATGTTCTACGTTAAACTCTGTCTCCTTTGAACAGCGAAGCAGGGAATTTAATCGGCCCGGGAGTTAGTCTGATATCGCGTTAAGGCAGGCTGATCAGCAATTAAATGGCTAAGTGAACTCTTTAGAAATAATTTTCCTCATAGAACAATTCTTCCACACTCTACGGATCGTCCTCTTTTTTAGGTAGTAAAAAACAATTAATTATACTGGGCGTTGATGAGCCTAGTATCAATGAGTAACCTGGCAAGGCAATATGAACGTTAACGTTGAACCATGTTAATTATTTTTTGTACCGTTTCTTCCGTATTTGCGTCTATACCGTGATGGCCTTCTGTAACTGTTTAATTTAGTTTATAGATATTGCTGTATTTTTTTTCTCAAGCGAAACCTTTAAAACATATATAATACATATCAAATCATATAGTGAATTGAAATTACCTCCGGTTGTCGCGGTTCAGTGGACTGACCATTTGAAAGTACAATATAAAAAGTGAGTACAGCTGGAAGCATTCGGCTTGACATAATTAAAATTAAGTGTACACCGATATGACGCTTTTTTTTTTCTATTTTAGGCTATTTCGTTATAACAACAAACCTCTAAATTGCTTCTCTGTTCAAACGAGGCTTGGCTAAATACATCAAGTCTGTTGAAGATGATATGTCGTCGTATCAGTAGAACACTAAATTTAGATCGTACTGGATCAGTTACCTTTTGATCACCGCTAAAATTGAACGTGAAATAGAACAAGTTATTACACGTTATTAGATGCACGTTAGTTATCGAGGCATACAGTACTTACGTAATTTTAGCGTGCTTACCTAAGTTTCTGGTGAGGTGAACGATCCACAGATCATCCACACGCGTCACATGACAGCGTGATTCATTGTTTCTTCGTTTTTAAGCAGCTACGTAGAGAACAATGTCTATTCAGCAGACCATGCCGACACTCACTTTTAGGTTAGGTGCGGATTAGGGAGTACATACTCGGTAAATGATAATGGTCGCGCATTGTCAACGTCGCTTAAGGTTTAGCTTAGTCTAGCAATGACTGTTAGCCGAATCAGGGCGTCTATTCGACTCAGCAAGCGAGCGAACGTCAACCGCCCGACTATTGGATTTACGAAGTACGGACGGACTTTCCATACACTCTCACTTCGGCGGCAGAGCAGAGAAGAGCCTAAACGAGTTTTTTTTTTTGAGGGGAGGATAGAGGACAGTGGGAGAGAAGGAACAGGAGACCCGTCCTCCTAATCTATTGTGTCCCACACAATTCTAAGGTATCCTGCTGTTCTGCTCCGGTACAAATTCTTAGCGGCAGCAGCTGATCTAGTACTGCGGCAATGGCCGACGCGGGTAATGGCGGGAATAACCGTGGCAGAAATAACGGAACAAAGCGACCATGGATGCCGTCTGTTAGTCGCTAGCTGCTAGCCGATACCATTCGTTGGCAGTTAGTTAGGAGATAACGTATGGAAAACATGAAGACAGTAAGCAGGGATAGGGGTAAAGAATTCGAGACCACTCGGGGGAAAAAGTCGGGGCCGATGTTGGGGTTTCGGTTTCCGTTAACGACGAACCTGCCATACGAAGACGGACAGACCGACAAAACCAAACTTATACGCCAATGTGGATCGCAGGCCTTGTAAAAGGAATCCGAGATATCCACTTGCTCGTCATTTTCGCGTTGCTCCATAATCATGCTGCAATCCGTGCTGAATGTCCATAGGATTATTGCACATAGCAAAAAAAAGGCCGAGAAGACAAGATGGTAGGCACAGAAAGGCTGTAATGCCTATAACACAACTAATCTCTTTTTATTTGAGTTCGTTACTATTATACTGTACGCTGTACATGCGTCTTGCGTGTGGTACCCTGAGCAGTGCAACGATGAGAACAACATTAACAACGTAGGTGAATAAAATCCGGGCCGTGTGTCGGTGGCCGCCGTAATGAGCTGGTCGGAGGCGTTACGTTCCTCACTGTAGTAAAGTGCAGTAGTGATATAAACTTAAATAGAGGAAGCGAAAGATAGATAGAGGAGTTGAAAGAGGGGAGAGAAAAAAAAAAGAACGAAAAGCGGGTGAGAGCAAAGAAGAGAGGAAAGAAAAAGGATGAGCGAATCAGAGCGACATTAACGTAGTCAAGAACACGGAAACGAGGGCCAACAAGGGGGTTGTCGGCTAGGCAGACCAATAACCTAACACGCTAAGGCCAGCAGCAGATTGGCAATACAATAACTGTAAGGATAACTGGAGGCTCCTTAGAAGGCTGTCTGTTTATAAAATCCCTATTCAAATTGTGCCTAGATGTAGTTACAGACGAACTACGAGAGTCGTTGGCATGGCCAGTGCTCCAATAGGCTAGCTACTGTTTCTCACAAGTACCTTTGTGTATACATTGTCGAGATAGTCGAGGTAGTCTTCCTGTTTTCAGCATACTAAAACCAAGGGTTAATTAAAATGGCTAACGTAGATTTTAGCATATATAGGTTATTGGGCCATGAGTATTGTACGTTTTTTAAGTAGCCATGCACTGAAGCTCGACTGAAACTGTTGTTTGCTTAATGTTATCTAACTCATCATTAACTTAACACGCTCTAAAGGTAATCACAAATACTATATTTGGTACAATGTGCAAGAATAGAATATTATACTCCTTTAAGATGATAAATTTGAAAACCCTCTACCAATAACCTTCGCCTTTTATGAACGCCTCTTCACTGTACATTGGCTACGGCTACAACGCCGCGTAGACGTAAAAACAGATACCAATACGGACAGTGTTTACGTGGTTACAGCTCAGAAGCGGCCAGTCTTTGAAGTACTATTTAAATTTAAAATGATTGTTTCAACTTAGCCAAATGGTGCTTTGTATAGAATCTGCTTAGTCTTATGCCAGTGAGACTTTTAAATTGCTGTAAAACTAAGAGAACAAGTAGTTTTCTTATTCTCCTCTTATTCTATCGACGCATTCGATTGGGGGTGCTTTTAGCATCAGTGCATCATTTAAAGTGAATCAGGAACATTCGGTTATCGCCAAGCCCGGTGTGGGTGCAGCGAGCCGTTATTGTTGTTGTGGTCCAGACTTCAGAGGGAACATCAAATCCTGCAAGGCCCGTAGGTGCGAACGTAGAAGCAGACGAACACCCCGTCTTGCCAATAGGGCCGCCAGCCCTGAACTACGCTGCCTTGCCATAATAGTCCGCTTGCTTCTATATAGGTGCCGGTCGCTATTAGACACAGCTGCGCTTGCAGTTGAGTTAGTTTTGGCCATAGCAAGATCCCGTTTTGCCGCGGAAGCCACTAACCGACGACGCGGAACGCTTACAACATAGCAGGACTGAAACCGTCCGGGATGGTGGCCATCAGCCGGCGATCGTCGCGCACTCTACCCTGCACTAGAAGTCTACAAGCTCTAACCCGGAGGAACGAACGCATACAACATCTATATGTGCCACGGCTCTATGCACCTGCTGCCAGCATCCGATCGCTGTTAGGAGTAGCTAGTGATTGCTACCTAGTGGCAGGAATAGTCGCTGTATGAAAAAGCTTCGATGGCCTCCTTTTAGCTCCAGATAGGATACCCGACCCCCAGCTAACTGAATGGTTTACAGAAGGTCCACATTTACGTGTGCGATCTGCAACCGCCAATGTAGTTCTAGCCAAAACAGAACTGTTGGGCCGGGACCCAACAGTGCTGCTAGCAGACAATTAAATAAATACGCGAGAAACTTTGAAACAGATTTCGCCAACATAATTGTAAGACGTGTTGGCCGTCTGTCGCACGAGATCTGTCGCAATCAAGGTTAGAGCACATAGTATTGGAACCGCCTATTCGACACTGATAAAGAACGAAGAGCGGAGGGCATTGTATACAACTTCTACTTTATGGATGTGGAAAGCCGTATTCGCTGGTATTATTCGTACGGATCGGTTACACACCATGCGATCGACGAAGACGCTATGAAGCTTGTTTGAACAGAACAATAAATTAGGTAGGAGCCACGTAGATATTTTTTGTTACTGCAACAATTGAAGCTTAATGATTTATCCCTTGATTTATTTGTCCCTCGGGACCGACAATTTCTTGTTATTTATTCTTGTCTGCATTAGGGAAGTTTTTACATGGCAAGGGATTTTATTACCACACGAGAAATGTTGGAGCCTGTTAATTTACTAGCAGCCTTTTGTGAAAACATGCAGTGCACGTACGTACTTGACGCGACGACACTAGTCTGATTTTGTCCATTTCAGTATACAAGTACTGCTCTAATAGTCCGGTCACGTGTATTCAAGCACATAATGCAGAGTCGTTCGTAAACTGGACATTGATGGGAAAGCGTTTGGGCGCGATTTATACTCGAATCTCTATTTACAACATTTGGTAAGCGATATAGGCTAACAAGC